AAAAAAACACACAAAAAAAACAACAAAAAACAAAAAAACAACAACAAACAAACAAAAAAACCCAAACCCAACAACAAAAAACCCCCCTAAAAAACCCAACCAGTTGTTTAGTGCCTAGATATTATCAGATCAACGTCATTTAGCGCTTAGACAAATCGATGCAAAAAAAAGGTTATTTAGTGCTCGGATATATCGACGGAGTGACGGTCATTTATAGCGTTGCTGAGGGATGGGGAACGTTGGTGGTCATTGCAGGGCTGTCGGTTTGGGAGGAGGAACGACTATACCAGATGTGTGAAATCAAACAAAAGAGGTAGACTATAAAAGCCTTTGCCAGAACCTGGCACTCCTAAACATGTCACGGAGGTAAAAATAAATAAGAACTTTTTCTTTTCAGGTTCAATTTTGAAATACTTTAGCATTTTGATGTTATTTTAATAATAATGTACATTTACAACAGCAAAATGGATATTTTGTGAGAAATTTGGATGTTTGGTGGTCACTTTTGAGACTGTTAATGCATTATTATAAAGTATTATCTACAAAATCAAGGATGGTCCTTTACTTCCAGACTTATTCCAATACTAAGTTGTCGGGTGTAGCAGACAAAGGGTTCAATGATTTTGTACGAGAAAGATCGGCAGAGAGACAGACAGACAGACAGACAGGCAGACAGGGCAGACAGGCACACAGACAGACATACAGACAGACAAACAGACAGACAAACAGACAGGCAGACAGTCAGACAGACATACAGACAGACAGGCAGACACGGCAGACAGGCACACAGACAGATTGTAAAAACAATACAAGATTGGCAGGCAGATGTTCCCCCACAACGCCTGTACATAAACCACTCTGTTTATGCCCTCTGATCTTCACCCGGGGCACCGCTTTATGGGCACTGCTGCGAAACTGCAAACACCGTTAATGAACGCACCCCTCGTTATGAACGCCCATTCACACACGGCTGGCGCCCGTACAATTTTGTGTACACGTCATTGGTTCGCGTTCTGCCCGAAACGTCACCTGTTTATGCGTTTTACGTATTTGTCGTCTCTGCGAAAGCCAGAACTGGTCCTCTACAGATGGGTTTTCCCCTCTTTCATTCATACGTTCATGTTATTATGGAAAGGAGTTCTGAATTTATTATCCAGAACATTTCTATCGTGTAAACCGATTCTGAATTTATTATCCGGAACATTTGTTTAATCATGTGAATCGTCTGATGGCAAAAGATTTAATCTGATTGGTTATGACAAGATAATGCTACCCATCGTTCTCAAAACATTCGGTTTTCGAAAATGTTTCTCTTAGTCACAGTACAAACACGGAAGAAAACGAAACACAGCGCACTCTGAATCATCAGTATAATCTACTGATTTCTAGAAACTAGCTTATTCTATGTGAATTTGCCGGTCTTTATCTCTGTGATTGTCGATCTGTCGATCTGTCTGTCTGTCATACACACCCACAAACAAACAAACAAACAAACAAACACACACACACACACACACACACACACACGTCGCACACACACACACACAGATATAGACAGGCAAAAATAAGGGGGATGAGGGGAGAGAGAGAGAGAGAGAGAGAGAGAGAGAGAGAGAGAGAGAGAGAGAGAGAGAGAGAGAGAGAGAGCGAGGGCGGGGGCGGGGGGAGATAGAGATACAAACAGACAGACAGATAGACAGACAGAGAAGAGAAGTAAAAACAGAGAGAGAGAGAGAGAGAGAGAGAGAGAGAGAGGTAGAGAGAGAGAGAGGTAGAGAGAGAGAGAGACAGAGAACGAGAGAGAGAGAGAGAGAGAGAGAGAGAGAGAGAGAGAGAGAGAGAGAAGAGAAGAGAGAGAGAGAAGAGAAAGAAAGAGAAGAAAAAACCCCAATGTTGACTTAAACTCAAAACCCCTACCCACGAAACGCCAATGCCAGACACATACAGAACCTTAACCACAGCAAACACCACACAGACAATACACCGTGGGTATTGTGCATAGACACATCTCCAGTTACTTGTGAAGAACTTACTACGTTGCACTCACTTTGTTTTCATAGTGTGCAGTTCCACTATTGAAACTGGCCGCGTTGCACACATCTGTTTTCACAGTGTGTAGTTCCACTATAGGAACTGGCCGCGTTGCACACATCTGTTTTCACAGTGTGTAGTTGCGGTGAGCAAACAAAATGATCGCCTCCGCTGTAATCGCTCCAACGTTGGGCTGGTTTCTAACGAAATTTGCCCGAATTTGATTTTAACCGTTTGTTTATTACCTTTATTTCAAGACACAAACCGTTAATATGAAAAGTGCAGAAAAGTAAAGGGGAAAGAAAAAATGTTAAGTGTCGTTTTACGTCCCCATCGACACAACTTAGACAATTTAGGAGTCGGCCTTCGACCCTGCCTGTCAAGGCCACATAACGTCCCAGCAGAAACAACGATATCTATTGTCGCTCTTATTTAACACTGTACTATGTCAAAATTTCGAACAATTAAAAATCACGTAATATTTTTTGCAGAGTGTGATGGGGCACATCGAGACGTCGGAGTCTCATTTCTCTTTTGAAAATAATAACAGATTTAGACGAACAAAACAGTTTGGGCTAATATAGTTTTTTGAGCGAATTTTTTTGT